AGCCTGAGCACATTTACCAGCCAGGCAGTTCGAAACTACAAACCGATACATCTAGTAATAATACAACCTACCTACTGAGAAAATACCAGACATGTTATATGTCTGGTATTTTCTCAGTTTGTTTTTTATGTGTTTATATTTTTGGGCTGCAAAAAACAGTATTGAAAAAAAAGGGTTCCAACTAAAGTAAAAAGTTTGGGAATCCCTGGTCTAACCAGCTTTCTGTCTGTCTTACAGCCCATTTATCCAATCCATATTCCTTAACTTGCTGGCAAGAATATTGTGAGTGACCATATCAAAAGCTTGCTAAAGCTGGCACTGGGAGATTTGGGAGGACCAGAAACAACTTATTTGACTATTCATCATTTGATTACTGAATATGCAAATGAACATTTACTGGTCCTCCAAAAGTTCGTGAATGGATTTACTGATCCCCGTGTCAAAAAGTTTGGGAACCCCTGCTCTAAGCTGCCCCCCACAGCTGATTCATCAGCCCCACCAAGTCAGAGGCTCAGGACTCCATGCAGGGAACTGAGTGGGTGGGGTTGATGAATCAGCTGCGCACCTTAGAGGGACCACTGCTACAGTTCTATGAAATGATCTGAGACAGTCACACAGAAACACACCCAACTGTTTATTAAGCAGTTATCACTGCGTGAATGCCACTCCAGTGTGCTTGAGAAAGCGTCCTTACACTTTTCAACACTCAGCAATGCTCACAACAGCAAACTACCTGAATGTTAACCCAGATTTATAGGCCGGGCACTACCCCCGGCTGGAATCTCTGCCCCCAGCGCCCCCTGCTGGGCGGAGTGTGCTTGAGAAAGCGTCCTTACACTTTTCAACACTCAGCAATGCTCACAACAGCAAACTACCTGAATGTTAACCCAGATTTATAGGAATTGAAATACTGGGGGCTGGAATCTTTTTTTTTTTTTTTATAGTGAGGGTGCTGAGACACATTGAATCAAACTGTAAATCCTGTATATAATGAAAACCACTTCCATCCAAGGGGTGCTGCAACAATCCCCCTTCCCTCCCCTGTAATTCCAGCCCTCGACTGCAATACCTAACATTATTTTCTAGTTATGTAGATTTGTTCTGAAATTGTGTTTATAGAAACTGGGTTTACATTATAGTGCCAGATGCTGACCACACAAAAACAATTTTAGTTTGTCATCATGTGCTGCAGCCATATTGATACAGCATCCTCATGCTGGATGTCTTTTTGCAGCAGAACGTGTTTAAATATGTATCCTGGGATATTTAAACAAGTACTTAACTCCCATTGAATCTCAATCTTTTGAAAGCTTCAGCCTTAAGCATTAAGTGAAAATAAAATATCTTTTTATTTGAAAGGCTTGACAAATCTATCATCAGAAATACACACACACACTCACACTCCAGCCCTTCAAATCGCTCAGCACCAGTACTGTGACAATTCGTAAAGGCCCTTTATTTCTGAGATGGATCAAGGACATTCCCAAGTTTCCTGAACTTTTAACTCTTCCCATAATCCCCAAAGATTTGCATCCTATCATCATGGACCTGCTGACAAAGGAGGAATAGCTAGCTGGCTCTCTATTGCGGTTGCTGGTTGCTCAGCATGAGACATTCTCTCCAGTAAACAGAGTGTCAAGCTACTGCTTTGCTCCTTGTTCCCATTTCCACACCTACCGAAAAATACTGGACTGGGATTCAACAATGCATACTCTATCATGTATTTTGTGCAGCTGCCCTTCCCTGTAACTGAAGAAACATTTTATAAAATATTTATTTTTAGAGTCTGGCACCTCAGTTTATGCCTTTGGGTCTTTTCCTGCTTCTCCCTCTTCCTAGCTAGAACAGCATCAATTCTAAGGGTACGTCTAGACTATATGCCTCTGGCGACAGAGGCATGTAGATTAGACTACCCGGCATAGGAAAATGAAGCGGCGACTTAAATAATCGCTGCTTCATTTACATTTAAATGGCTGCCTCGCTGAGCCGATCAGCTGTTTGTCGGCTCAGCGCGCTAGTCTGGA